GGGACTCTTCATCTACAATTTGAAAATGCCAAGCATCTATTTGAAAGAATCTGTTATTTGAGGAACAATGTCTTATTGAGAAAGCAAAACAGACTTTTGGAATATTTAAACAGTGAACATTAATATGTGATTAAATACCCGAATGAATGGGTGGTGGAAATAGTACCGGGTGTTGGCAAAGAGAGAAAAGGAAGACTACTTAGGGACATAATATGTATTGAGCCACAAATACGGTTTTGAGCGTGTTGCTAGTAGAGGTTTTCATGTTGGTAGTAGAGGAGAAAATAGGGTCTTTAACAAAGGGTACAGAATGAGTATGGCCTCAGAAACAGGAGTAGATATGATATACTGAAGAAAAAGCCAGCCATCCTGGAGGCATGAAGACCAAAAATAGAAGGAGATGAGGTTGGAAAAGTCGGAAAGGCAAGATGTGGAAGGTATTTAATGTCAAACTCAAGGATCTAGACTTTACTCTGCAGACATTGAAAACCAACTGGAGACTAGTGTAATTAAAAAGAAAGTTAAAGGCTGGGTGCAGTGGCCGATGCCTGTAATCCCAGCATTTTGGGAGGCTGAGGTGGAAGGATTACTTGAAACCAGGAGTTAGAAACCAGCCTGGGTTACAAAGTGAGACCTCATCAGTATGAAAAAATAAAATAATAAACTAGTCAAACGGGCACACCTATATTCCTAGCTACTCAGGAGACTGAAGCAAGAGGATTGCTGGAGCCTAGACTTTCGAGGCTGTAGTGAGTTGTGATTGTACCACTGCACTCTAGCCTGGATGACAACGTGAGACCCTGTCTCCTAAAAAAAAAAAAAAAAAAAAAAGCCCAAAACAACAACGAAATGGTTAAGACCGTCTGTGCACATGAATTGGTGATGAGTAATTTAGTGCTATATTTTCTCTGTATTTATTTGGAATCATATAAACCTATATTTCAGTACAGAAGGGCACTGAGTCACACTTAGGTGACATATTTCCTCCCAAAATCCCAGCGAACTTCAGGAAGTGGTGGGGGTGATTCAGCAAGGGGATATCTTCCTGACCATGTGATGGTTGTGGCTGCATAGAGCTCTTTTTGCCAGGCTATGAGAACAATCTTTCCGTAATTTCTGTTGACGCTTACTCAACGTTTTCTCAGATGGAAACTTGGGGGTAAGACTAGATGGGAGCAAACGTGGAAGATTTAGAGTCTCTCTGCTAAGTCTTCCTCCTGAAGCTTTTCTGAAGGGCCGGAACCTCCTGGAGAGGCCTTACTTACCAAAGAAAAGATAGATATTGGTCAGTTAGCTTGATTCTTTGATTACTTATGATAAAAAATAAAGAATATGATAGGCTTTTATATTCCCAGTACCCCAAGATTGGCTCTAATGTTAGATGGGTCTTAAAAGTTCATGGAAGTCCATGTATAGTCTTATTTTAGGTATCTTAACCTAAATTGTGCAGAGGTATGTTTTACTGGATTGACCTAACCTAACTAATAGATCTTTTGAGATTTTATTTTGTATAATTTATAAAATGGAAAGTATTATCAATGTAGCATAAAGATAAGAAATGAGCTCTGGAGCTGGGCTACCTGGGTTCTGGTCCTGATTTCTCCACTACTTAACCTTGGGCAAGTTATTTAACCCCTCTGCCTCGATTATCTCATTTAGAAGATGGAAATAATTTACTTCTTTCCTAGGATTTTTGTCAGAATGAAACGAACAAATTTGTTGTTTATTTACTAAGAGTAAAGCTCTTAAAATATTGCCTGGTATATATATTCCCAATAAATATTGCAATTAGTGTATCATAAATGAAAAAAATTAAAGCAGGTAAAGCTTAAGTGATTAAGTGACTTAGGTAGTTATCTGGCAACATGACTACACCAGGATTAGCATTTCTTATTTTAAGACAGTCTACTGAAGTAGCTGGTTTTTTAGACCAGAGATCAGCAAATCTTTTCTTAAAAGGGAAGATATAAACATTTTATACTTGTGGATCTTACGGTCTCTGTTGCTACTACTCAACTCTGTCATTGTGTCTTGGAAAAATCAACCACAGGCAAAATGTAAATGTATGGGTGTGGCTGTGTTCCAATAAAATTTCATTTACAAAAACAGGTGGCAGACCCACATTTGGCCTTCTTACAGACCCTTGCTTTAATCACTTAAGTCATATCTGAAAGGAGACTACAGATTCCATTTCATTTTGAAGGCTGAAATATGGCATTATGTATTATAATAAACAGAAACTTTGCTTTTTAATGACTGTTTAACATGTTAGTCTCATGATGGTCATACTTTAGGATAGCAAAGGGATTTAGAAAATAAACAATAGTAACAAATGTGTTTTTTATCTCAAAGAGATCCATAGAAATCACTTATTTAATGGTTGGAGAATTATCTTGGAATTTGAGACCTGAGGTTATGGGCAGGATGTTAAGAGTTTGTTTGATTAAATGGACCCAAATATAGACTGGTTTCTTTTTTTTCTTCTCTATGTATGGGATAGGTTTGTGAGTCAAATAAAAAGCTGTTTGTAAGTATACTTGTCATTTCACTAAGGGTTTTTCTTCTGGGAATGTTGTTTGCATGGGTTTGGATTTTTTTATGCCTTACTTTTCAGTTTGATAATGTGTTCTTGTTTTCAAATTAAACTTGTCATTGAGCCTTTTTGCGAGTGGCTATGTTGGTTAGTTAGTATTTATAGCTTAAGTCTGTTTCTGAGGAAATGACTAAAGTCTCTTTGCATTCAATCAAAACTGTAGAACAAAGAACATCTTTGACTTACTTAAACAAGTCCTATGATGAAAACTCAAAAAATATAATGGTTCATGTTTATAAATGTTTTTGTGTATTCAGTCCTGGTTAGGCCAAATAATCAGAGCTCTGTGCTGAGGGAGGGATCGAATATATTCAGTGCCTGTTAGTTAATGTGAATTTCTCTGGAGCACATTCAGGCAATGCTTATTTTCTCATAATCCTCCTCCCATCTTCGCCTGCCCCCCGCCCCACACCGCCACCACCACTTTTTTTCATTTTACATATTGTTTTGAACTGGGTTTTATAGAACATAGGGGGTTTTTTTTCCTTCTTCTTCTTCTTTTTAAACTCTTCTACTAATTTTCTCCTTTCTCATTCCTAGCCAAGAGCCCTGATCCAGGTGAAGCATGTAAACCTTGCACATGGAATTCCCAGCAAGGAGGCTGGTGTGGATCAGGGCAGGGCCTGGGAAGTGACTGACTTGCAGAAACCCGCTGTGTCTTGTTCTCTTCTGGAGACCCCTGCTTCACCATGTTGTGAACATCCGCAGGCCCACTGCACCCTAATCTTGCCCTCTTACTGTTGATCAGTCCTCATGGAAGTGTAGGTGCCCTTCCTTCTGCTCATGATGTTCCAGGGCAGGAGATGAGGGGGCTGAGTAGGGATGAAGAGAAGGCCCAGGTCCTGTCTGCTCAGACCTGGGCTGACGTCTGCCCTGGGACTCAGGCTGGGACTTGTATTTTACCATAAAGGCCCTATGACAGGTGGTGGTTGGATTTTGGTGTTAGATCAGCTGTGTTGTGGACTGACTGGGATTTTCTGCACTCGCTTTTAATCTAATTGTTACTTGGTTCCATTGATTGTTTCAGCTCTTTCATAAGCAGCTGGAGGAACCACTTCCCCAACTAAATCTTGGGTCTAAGTATGAAACATGAAAGTGAAATCGCACCGCACAAGGCTGCACATCCACTCACTTCTGCCTCTGCTCTCAGAAGCACATGAGGGTGGGATTCCTAGGAGCTCACTTTGAAAACTGCTCATTAACATGACTGTTTACTTTCAGAGCACAGCCTAGTCTTAAACTTGAGCTTGCCTATGTATATATCATAAATTACTTAAAATTTGCTGGGATTAGTGTGTATATATGGGCCATATATGAAGCCAGCTGTAGGAGAAAGCAGAACGGACAGATACTTACCTGATGTGATTTGATGGGTTGTTGAGAAATTCCATGATGAAAATCCACACCCCCATTCATTCCTGAAATTCCATAGTCAGTAATGCATTTTATTTCACTGTTAAGCACCTGCCTTTTCTGAAGCTTTTTTTTTTTTTAAATAAAAAATGCCCTCATGAAGGATATACATTAAGTTCTTGCAGCCTTGGAGCTGATCCTTTTGCTTCCCTGTTTGATTAAACATCTGGGGTTAATGAATCCTCAAAAGGACAGATAGAAGGAAGGAAACAGCCATATCCGTACATCACAATTTTGTCTAGGACTGGCCCTGACTCTGTATGCATTTGTAAAACACGTGTGGCAATAGCTCTTGTATTTAACTGGCAGACATCTTGCTTCCTCCTTTGGATGCAGGTAGTTCTGAGGTATTTGAAGAGAGGGCATCTCAAAAGGAACTTGCACTGTTCTTAAATATTCTTATATTTTATTACTGTATCATGGTGAGGATATATGTGCCCTTATATACTAATGGGAATTTTCCCCTAAGTATGAGTTATTCAAGAGATAAGAGAATCAGAAACGCAAGCCTGAAAAATAATGTATGTATTTCTACTTATTTTATACAACTTGTTCCTGTTGGACAATAAAATAATAGATTGTGGGCATTTCCAATTTTTTTTACCTTAATGACAAAATATTGCAAAACCATGGTTCATTCATTTACTCAACAAACATTCATAGAGAACCTACCATGTGCTACTACTACTTTGTGCTATAAGAATTAATGATGGTGGCTTCAGCGGAAAAATTAGTCATCAGGGAATATTTGAGGTTGTCCAGTAACTGAGGAAGGAAGGGAGAGAAGGGTGGAGTACTGGATGGGGACGAAGGAAGGAGGAGGATAGGAGAGAAAGGATGGATGGAAGGAAGTCCTTAACACATGTTTTGTTGTTTTTAATTTTACTCATGTTATCTAGTTTAATGTTTTTTATATACTCAGCCATTTGCCACTTTTATTTTTTCTGATGCGCTATAATTTTCACTTGTCATTTTTGTATTTGCTTCTTTTCAGTATAAAAGAACGTGTGGATCAGTTTGCTAAGTACATCCAAGATTTGAAGAACTGAAATAAATCAGCATTAAACCTGCTTTTTAAAAACGTAAGTGAACTCACTTCTGGCCATGGTTCATTTCAGACCTCTCTAAAGCCTGCAATTACTTCTCAGTGTGTGTGAATTTTTTTCCAGTAGTAAAGTTACTTGACTCTAGTGAGTCTACTAATTAAGTCTAGGAGTGTTTGTATCCACTCCCCCTTTTAAAACCTGTAAATTCTAAGAGTAGCATGAATAACATAGGTGGCTGTAGGACTTAGACGTGGCAGGCAATGAGCAAATCTTCATTTGGCACTGAGAAGGAAAACACAGATGACCTGGTAGTATATAAAATAAAAAGCATAGCCCTCTTCTCGAGTCCTTCATCACTCTCCACCTCACAGACCATTTCACCACCTTATCTACACCAGTGAGAATTGCTAGTTGACCCATTAATGACCCAGTAGGCTTAGAATATGAGGCATTCGTTTCTCACAAGCATATTTACCCACTTCCTCCCTATTTCTCTTGCTCAGTAATAATAACTACTATTTATTGAGCTTCTATCAAGTAACAAGCATTTGATTAATTTGATTCCATATTCATTCCACAAATAGTGTTTCTGAATGCTTGCCGTGTGCCAGGCATGGCCCTGACACTACTTATTACCTTATCCTCATGGCACCCTTTCAGGGTAGGAGTTAACACTTCAGTGATCTGGATGAGGATATGAGAGGTAAGGAGCATGCTGACGGTCACCTAGCCAGTGAATGTGAACTGTCTGACTTTCTCTGATTTGCCGTATCCTAAAGCATGTTTAGATGGTTTTCCTGGCATGGATGTCAGTAAGAGATTGGAACCCCCTGGATCGTATTCATAATAGGAATGTGATTCTCTTCCTTTTAAACCTTGGCTGCAGTCACAGAAAGGAAGGAAGTTAGAGAAACATCCTGTCACACAGCTTTGGTACCTGTGTGGGGAGCTAAGAGATCTGATGTCCAGTTCCAGTCCTTTCATGAATTTCCTCTGTGTCCATGAGCTACCTAATGTCCATGGGAAACAGTTGATCTTATGCCAACCAAAGGGCACGGACCAGATGCTTTCAAGGGTCTGTCTCAGTCAGCTCTTTGCTGAAGGACCTTATGCATGGAGGAAAGTGCATACATCATTAAGTGGATAGCTTGAGGGAATAAATGTCACAAAGTAGACACACTTCTTCAGTCAGCACCTTGATTAGTAGAAAATTACCAGCACCCCAGAGCCTTCCTCCCCTCATGCTCCAGGAGCAACCAATATCCTGCCTTGTGATGCCTTTGTTTAGTTTGTTTTTATGAATAGAATCATACAGTGAATATTCTTTTGTGTCTACCTTGTTTTGCTTATTATGTTTGTGAAATCTACAATATTATATACAATATTTTTTGCATTCTCTTTGCTCTCATGCTATTCAATTGTATACCTATTTTACGATTGCTGGACATTTAGATAGTCTCTTGCTTGGGCGTATTACTAATAGTGCTGCTATGAATGTGTTGTGCATATCTTTTGGTGATGATTCTATTTTGTTTGTTCAGGGACTAAAGTAATTTTAATTCATGGCACTTCGGAATGATGTTGAACTTTAGGTAGCCAAGTGATTTGTCTGCTTCAATGTGATGTTCCAAGCTGCTTACTCAACAGGAAGATGTTTTTGTAGATTACTTTTGTGGGGTGTGGCCAGGTGGAAGCCCTCTCTGCTATGTGAGTGTTGTGTTGGGGCTTATTGCCCTGGCAGAGAAGGGTCTCAGTTGCATGGTACAGGAAGGGACTATGTAGGGGAAGAGGAAATACATCCAGAAGAGAGATGTGTCTGGATTCCCATAGAAACTGTCAGGATATCTTAACAATCAGATCAAGAACCTGGAAAAGGAAGAGCCCCAGGGAAGACTGAGCTTATGAGACCCGATGTGTCTAGGGAGACGAATAGAGAAAGAAAAATGGAGGCAGGCCTGAGCTCAGAAGGAGTTCTCAAAGAATTTTCTGAACAAATTCATTAAGCCTAACTTGTTTTAAGGAAGTTTTGAAAAACCAGTCCCTAAAAGTATGAATCTTGAGTCAAGAATAAACTTAAAAGTATAGAACTAGGAAAAAATGTATTTTCCCAAACAAATACAGGATGTGAGCACGTGGACTTTGCCTCAAGACCTTTCTGCATTCAGATCACAATTCCACCACGTTCTTGTCTCATGACCTCTCTGGGTCAGCTTCCACATCTGTAAAATGGATTGGTAAAATGTCCACCTCTAAGATGCCCCCAAAATTTGCTGTAACAATTGACTACAATAGTATTAGTAGTGTGCTTCAGGGCACATAGACCTGGCACTAAAAATGATAGTCATTATATTTCTCATTCTCGTTACTAAGATTACCCATTTGTATCTGATACTTTATGAGAGTTTTCAGATCACTTTTTAAAAATAGGAGATTTTGGTTTTTAATTTCAGTGTAGTGAATACTAACAAAAAAGATTTTTCTACTTGCCTCACTTTAGACTGAAACTCAGAGGAAGGATGAAAGGAAATATTTGTCTGTGTGTCCTTGGCATGTCCCTCCCCAGGGTGAGTCAGTGAAGACACTCTTGGTTTTCGGCACTGGTTTACTTGTTCAAAAAGAGACCAGTGGAGCTGAGATTTATAGGAAAGTAGGGTCATTTTGCACAAAGGAAATTTGTAATTGTATATATTATACTTTTTTTTTTTTTTTTTTTTTAAAGAGACAGGGTCTCGGTTTGTCGCCCAGGCTGGAGTACAATGGTGCGATCCTTGCTCACTGCAGCCTTGAGCTCCTGGGCTCAAGTGATCCTCCCACCTCAGTCTCCTGAGTAGCTGGGACTACAGGCGTGCACCATGCCCGGCTAGTTTTTGAATTTTTTGTGGAGACAGAGTCTTGTTTTATTGCCAAAGCTGGTGTTGAACTCCTGGCTTCAAGTGATCTTCCCACCTTGGCATCCTACAGTGCTGAGATTACAAATGTGAGCCACTGCTCCCAGCTGTACTTTCAGTCTTAGGTGTTCTGGGAACTGGCAAATATATGAAATTTCATTTGCCTAAGAGTGCAAGCAATACCCTAGTCTCTCCTCTGTGCCAGTGGTCCTTGAGTTCATGCATGACAGTGGTGAATGCTGTCTGGTTATACCATTTTTGAGGCTGAATGGACCCAGGTACAAGAATGAGGTGGGAGCTCCGTGTCCAGCTTCATCTCTGTCTTCTCTGCATTAGGCCAAGGAAGGTTGTGGGGCGGTAGGGTTAGCTGTTCACTCAAGCCTGCCTGTATCATCACTCCACCCTGTAGTGCAGTGGTTTGTAAGTAGACAATTTGTAGCCACTGAGATAATGTCATCCCCAGAGAAAAGCATCTACTATGGATTTAGCCTTTGCACCATTTTCTCTATACCCTTTTTGCAGTCTTTATCACTTTCATTATTATGTGGGGAGTGGGGTTTTCTATCTCCTGACTGTCTTTTGTGAACTAAATCTTATTTTATGCCATTTGTACTAAAAATTATAAAAATGCTGTTTGGGGATGGCAGTCTTATTTGGAATTGTGTCACATGTTGTTTGTTTTGTGCTTAATTGGTTCATGATAACTTGCACAATATGTAAATGATATTGTTTTCATCATATAACTCACAAAATGTTTTCCTTTCCGTTTTTTTTCTTTAGTGCTTTCTTCTTTTCCTACCAAATACCTAGGCTCACTTTTACCATCAGATAGAGATTTAGTTGGGCTTTTAGAACTCTCCCTTCAAGCAGATGCCTTGCGTGTGTGTGTGCCTGTGTGTGTGTGTGTGTGTGTGTGTGTCTGTAGTTTGTGGGCTGTTAGAAGCTATTTGCTCATCTTGTCAAAGCCATAGCAGTCTTTTCATTCTCAGTTGCTTTGCTTTCTCCTCACCTCTTAGGAAATTGGCAGCCAATGACTTTGATTTTTTTTTCTCTATGAGACAGATATGCTGGTGTATAACTGTAGACAGAGGAAGAGTTTGCACATTTAGCAAACGATCAAATAAGTGGCGTGTGGATGTGTATGTACATACATGCTGGCTCTATAACTGAACAAGTGGTGTTTTTTCTCTCAAGTCTCCATGCATTTATACATTTAATTAGGAGGCTCAAGTATCTGTGATGCCTTTTAGATATATAGCCTCAACAGTTTTTTAAGAAGGGGGAAGAGGGTCCAAGACAATTTTTACTCTTATTTAGTGGATGTGTGGTTTAATGTTATGATACGTTGGGGAAACCTGGGTTCTGACTCCGTCATTTCAGTGAGCCATGATTTCCCATTGTTTCAGGAGTAGAGAAGTTGGGGAAGGGATCTCGATAGTTCTTAAATCTATTATTTAGCAGTAGCTCAAGGCTGTGTGCATCATAATCAAAGAAACGAGATTGGGTCTCCTGGGTGTGGTCTGCATTCCTTCTGTACTGTAGCTGTTCTAGTCTTCTGGTCAAATCATAGCTCAGAGCTGCTTCAGCCGAGAGGAGACTTAAATTAGGGATGTGCAATTTACAGCCATTGTAGCAGGATCCATTTAGTCCGTAGGCAGAAGATAACATGTGCTGTCTCTGTAGAAATGATAGCAGCTTTCAGATAGAAATAGCCCTGAGAGTTTCTTGTGACTATTACCTTGAGCTGAGGTGTAATCCCTTACCAGTGGTGGAATCCTAAGTACAATACAACAGTTAATTGTCTTCTGTGTTCTCATCTGTGGTTCAGAACACAAATTCTTACTGTTCCATCAGCTTTTCTTGCTTATTGTTTGTTTTTTACCTAATTCCTTTATTGTTGTAGTAGTAGTTATATGCTTGGCTTGACATAGTTAGGCTATTTGATATTGTGGTATTAAGATATTTTCGAGGAAAAGGTCATCAGCTGTCTTTCTGGGCTATTCTGGGCATTTTGTACTCTATTTTGGATCTACGTTTTCTTGCTCTTGATTTCTGATTAGCTGTTCTTCCTCTTTGCTTTGGCCTCTCAACTTGCTTGGAAGCTTTTCAACAAATCTGCTCTTGGATGACTGCTTTGTTCGACAAATA